TTTTGTATTTTTTAGTAGAGATGGGGTTTCACCGTGTTAGCCAGGATGGTCTCGATCTCCTGACCTCGTGATCCACCCGTCTCGGCCTCCCAAAGTGCTGGGATTACAGGATTGAGCCACCGCGCCCGGCCTTGATATAAATAAGTTTTTACTTAAAATATGCCCTAAAGACACTTCAAGAAAGAGCATTTCAAGATAACCTTGTTTGGGTACAACATTTAGGTTGTGTGTGTATGTGTGTGATCTCATAAAAGTCACATGGTATTTGCATTGTAGAGCTTAACCTATCTTTAATTCTGTTTATATGCTTTAAGGCAAAACCATAACCAAAATGAATTTAAGATAACCTAATTAGAGGGCCAGGAGAAACCAGCACAGATTAAAAGGATTGTGAGACATTGTGGTTCAACCAGACGTCTTCCTAGGATTGGACTATAACATGTGATATGCTTTGGCTCTGTGCCCCTACCCAGATGTCATGTTGAATTCTGTTGAATTGTAATCCCCAATGTTGGGGGAGGGACCTGGTGGGAGGTGATTGGATCGTGGAGATGGATATCCCTCTTGCTGTCCTCGTGATAGTAAGTTCTCACAAGATCTGGCTGTTTAAAAGTGTATAGCACTTTCCTCTTCACTTTTTCTCTGCTGCTGGCTATGTGAAGATGTGCTTGCTTCCCCTTCACCTTCTCCCATGATTGGAAGTTTACTGAGGCCTCCCCAGTTATGCTTCCTCTACAGCCTGCAGAACCATGAGCCAATTAAACTTCTTTTCTTTGTAAATTAACCAGGCCCAGGTAGTTCTTTATAGCAATGTAGTTTTTGTTGATCCCATTCAAGAAACTGCATCACACTGAGATAAATCCTCTAAAACAACCAGGCTGGCTTACAATGTTTGTTCAATGTTTCAGTTGCCTTAGTCTCTTTTTTATTTTACCATTTTGGCCTTTATTCACCTGCCTCATTCTGGTGACATATTGGATATGTTTGTTTCCTTATGCTTTAAAATGTTTTTCAGATACATTTTCCCATTTGATACCAACAATTATCCTTTTATCTTCATTTTACAAATAAATAAGTAAATAGATAGATATACAATGAATTAGTGGTAAATCCAGTCCTGGAATGGGTGTTTTGTATGGCCTTTTTCCTACTCTATCATATTTCCTCTTCACTCCATTGCTACCTAACAATTTGCTCCATCTCTGCCCATTTCCTAATGCAGTTGCTTTTTATTACCAATTTGTTTTGTATCTGTTTTTATAAGAATCTGTGCCTTCTACAAGTCAGTAATTACCAAAGATGAGAGTCAGTTTACAGGTAAAAGCATAGCCTCAAGTAAGACATTTAAGGGTAAAATGTAAAAATTACAATCTTGACATAATAGTCAATCAACTACCATTCGCAATTACTGTTTATTTGCCTTTTCCCTTTCTGCTTCTGCCAGCCAAGATTAAGTCTGAACGCAGTGATTTTAAACATAGTGGGGGCTTACTGGCTCTTTATCCTGGTTTCATCACTTGGCAGTCATGGGAAAATTGTTCAATCTACCTATGCCTCACTTTCCCTATCTGTAAAATGGATATGATGATAACAGTAGCATCTTCCTCATTACCTTGCTGAAAACATTAAATTAGATAATGAACGTAGAGTACATAGCACAGCCCCTAGTACAGTGTAAGCTGTAAGTAATTGTTGGTTATTGCTTTCATCGCAAAGTACCCTGAATGAGTTCATATGGATTTTGTTCTATAAAAAGTTATGATTTTGTCAAGAATAATTACCAACTCTTAAGTTCATATTAAGGAAATATTAATATGTGTGTATCTAATTTTCCCAGTTCCCTGCCCACCTATGGTAAACTTCATAAATCTTTGTTGAGTGACTTCTATAGACACTTATAAACTTCACTATAGTGGCTCTCAACCAAGAATAATTTTGCACGATGGGGAGATACGTGGCAATCTCTAGACACAATTTTTATCATCCACACTGGGAAATACTACTGGCCTCTAATGGATTAAGGTCAGGGATACTGTTAAACATACTAGAATGTAAAAGACAGCCCCCACCACAAAGAATTTTCCAGCCCCAAATGTCAATAGTTTGGTCCTTTTGAGAAACACTATTAGAAAAGGGAAAAGGATAAGACATCATCACTGTGTAGAATCTAGTTAGAAAATGCTTATCAAATAATGCAAATACATTTGCAATATGCCTGTTAACACCAGGATAGGGTTATGGTTAGTTCATCTTGAAGACTGGTTGGCTTTATGAGAAGGCATACTATATGGACATAACTTCATGTTTAGATAAACTACAGTGACCTTGCAAAATTTGCCTTAACATCATCTGGTTTACAAGGGATCTTAACCTTGGTTGATTATGAAAACTTGATATAAAAATTAGCATTGTATTTCAAAATACTCTTTCCAACTATTTGCCATATTGCCTATTTAAGCTACTTGCTGAAGGGCTACAAATTATTATTATTTCTTTAAATGGAAACTACATAGGAATCTATAGTAGGAATGTTGGTTTAAGTGATACAGTTATTATTATATGGTATTTTAAGTAGATATAATCAAATGGTCAAATAGTATCTATTCATTGGTAAATTTTCTTTATCTATCACTACATTCAATTTTCATGTTCACTTGAATTAACTGATATTAATGTGGAGATGAGTAATATTAATGCTGTTTTCCTTTGGTTAAGCCATTATTTGTTGGTGGTGGTGTTTCCTTCGTCAAGTTAAAATCATTCTCTTTTTTACCTGCTGAACACTTTCCTTTAGCAATTTCAAACTTGTGCACCAAAATGGCATTTTGTGTTGGACTTTTCTGATAAATTTTTGGTTGAGATATGTGTGTGTGTGTGTGTGTGTGTGTGTGTGTGTGTGTTTTCGTGTGTTTAGGTTTCCACTTAAAGTTCAGTGCCAAAGCTACAGTACTTATACATTTTCTAAATGTGTTTTAAGCAATAAGTTGTACAACATTTTTAGAACATGTGTTAAGCTATTTCTCTAAGAATGAAGCTCTTAACAAAACATAAGCACTCTGCATGAGATCTTAGCAGCAAAGTGCTTAAAAGATAAAGTAAGAATTGGTACCATGGGAAGAACACCAGCTGTAGAGCACACAGGTCCATTATGAGAAGTATGGTAGTGGGTAGGGAGAAAATGATTTAATCAGGAGTAAAACCAATTTTATTATAAGGGCACGCAGGGGGTGTGGCACCATAGTGAGAGGGACATTTCAAAATATCTGACAGATTTCAACAATGTGAAAACCCCGTTCTTTAAAGTGACAGTAAACCCCATCAGGTCTCCCTTTTTGATGCTATTGTTAACAGTTGACTGTTTAAAGCTGGCCTGCTAAGATGCTGTCGGCCTATTTCAATAGTGTGTAGCCAAATAAAAGACTAATTGTTGAAATACAATCAATCAAAAATGATTGCAGGGCAGAAAGAAGGTCTCCTCTGCTGATTTTGTTGTGGATCATATTATTGTGTTATGATTGAGGTAGGAATGAAGACTGAAAGGAAAGATTAGCCCATCTGAAATAAACAGATTCACCTTCATGTCTTCTCTTTGCAAACACACTGTTGAGCAGGAACACCACTTACTATAAGCCTTAGAAGCGATCGTTCATTTATTTAAAAAAAAAAAGATCTGCTGAAGATTTGGGCTAATATTTTTAAAAGGACATGAACATTATTAGCAAAACAGCCCATGCAGAGAATCCCTACAGTGACAATTCTCAGCTTTTCTTACATTTTGGTGCAAAATGCTCCTCTGCATTCATAAAACTGACATCCAAGGGACATGTGAATGCGAGCCCAAGACATCAGTAAAGAAACAAATTTTCAGTTGACCAAATACCTCAGTGTTTGCCAGGATTCTCAGCTTTTCAGTTAACCCCCAGATTGTCTAAAATGATTAGTTTAAGTTTTCATGAAGCCCAGAATCCCAAACCTTTTCCATGTTGCCCGTTTAGAAAGACAAATCGTCTGGCTCGACAGCAGTGCCTTTGTACCTTGCTTCCTTTTCATTTTATGTCAAGATGTCCCTTTCAGACGTGAATGCATCCACTTCTTGGGTGAGACTAATTCCAGACATTCATATTGAGGGTGAAAAGGACAAAAATAATTGCCCAGCACACTTTATTTCTACTACAACCTTCATTTTGGCTTTTACTTGCTTTAATATTTCAACATTTCCACTCACTCAAGCTTCCCAAGCAAATACTTCTGTTGTTTCTAAAAAGAGTTGGTAAGCACTTGTGGTTTGTCTTTAGTGTGTTATCATTTTTGACAGCTTTGCATAGCCTACGTAGGCCAACAGGGGTCTGTCTAATATTGTTGCTGGGCATATTTTCCTCACTGAGATGAGAACTAAAAAAATATATATATATTTTGAAGCAGTAAGAAAGAATTAATATCCTTTCTCACTCAGTATTCTATTCCTTGCTGACTTTATATTCAGGCAAAAAAAGGGAAAAAGTGTTACCCATTATTCCCTTGTACATAGCAAGGCTAACACATGTAAAGCAATAACTCATTTTCTATTGCCATGTTTAGCATATGTCTCCTGTTGGCTCAGCAAGGCCTTTAGGCTGGTCCCTTGAGTCGGCCATCATTGGCAACTCTTAGCCCCTCGGCCTCAAAACCAAATAGCTTTGAATCATGTTGAGCTGTGATGCTAATTTTCATACTGATGCATTATGGGAATAAATGTATCTGACATACTGTGTCAATGGCACTGTCTCTTTGTGTCTCTTGTTTTTTTGTTAGCTGCATTCCTACAGATGGTATTCCATTGAAAATGTTCCCTGCCTACGGAAAGAGGGAGGGAAAAAAAAAACATGCACAGCACCAAACCTCTAGGTGCAGAAGGCTGTTAACGGTTGCTGATGATAGTAGGCAAACATTAACATAATAATTAGTGTCTTGTAATTGTTTCATTAAAACCAGTTGTTCCATTTCTCCTCGTGTTTTCCCAGAAGAGAAGCTGAATTTGGACGACAGCCAGTGGGAGGACATCCACGTTGTCACCGGAGCACTGAAGATGTTTTTCCGGGAGCTGCCTGAGCCGCTCTTCCCTTACAGTTTCTTTGAGCGGTTTGTGGAAGCGATCAGTAAGTACCTCACAGAAAAGGGCAGGTGGTGGAATAACCTGACATCCTGGAATTATTAAGTAAATAATAAGAATGATTATAATAATAATCATGGGGAACAGATAGTATCCCCGATGCTCCATATCTTACGTTTTCGTTTTGTTTTGATGGCTTGTTTTATTTCTGGCCCTGCAGTATTATCTGAGGTGGGTTTTTTTGTTTTGTTTTGTTTTATTAGGAAAAAAATATGACATCCTATTTAGGGTAGTCAATTTAACTAAGCGTCCTCAAATGAAAATAGTGTCTCATCAAATCTGCTTTAAAGGGTTCACCGTGTGCACCCCTCGTCTCTGCCTTTATACTTTCAGAATTGCAATGAGTTTGAATACAAAGGGGTCTTGAAAAGAACCCTAAGTGAATTAAATATTACATTTCATGAAATATGTGTTAAATTATCAACTAAGACATCATGTTCTCTTGGTTCACTCACCCTTCACCCACTAACACTAGTAAACAGCCATAATTTGCTTATGAGCAGTGTGATTATCAAATTAAGTAATGGCAAGTTTCTTCTGTTAAACTGGTGACGTTATAAGAGAGTGAGTTATATCTATTACTACCCAGTAGTCATTGTACACTCCATGAAGCTTCTTTTTCTGTTTTTTTTTTAATTCATAAAACACACACACACTTAAGTAAAAGTGAATAAATGAATGAATAAATCAATGAAAATCTTTTCCAAATGCAAGGGTACTTGTGCTATTAATCCTTCGAGAAGCAACTACTGGTATGTCTCTAAATTTAATATCTTAGGGTATGCTTACTGTAACTGTGACAGCTTGGGAAAAGTTTCCTGGCAAGCCAGCTGATTTAAGGAAGAAAAAGAAAGAAGAAAGAAAGGTAAAATTAAAAACTTTGCAAGCCTGGCAGGAGCTTAATTAAAATCCTAATGAGACAAATCTCCAAGAAAAAAAAAAATTGCTGTACTCAGGAGGTCTGATCTTGGATGGCTGGGTGTACAGTGTTCCCATTAGTAGAAGTGGAGATTTGGGGGTCCTGTGATGGAAAACAGCCCCTCAATATGCCCTCTAATTCTGTCATTCACAAAGCCTTCACCCTGTTTAAAGATCAGGCAAAATGGTATCAAGTAAAAGAAGAAATTTCTCTTCAGATTTTGTTGTTGTTATTGCTGCTGCTGTTGTTGTTGAATGTAGTAACAATACTCTAACTATGGGTTTTGAGTTGAGGCTGGAACTCTTATCCCTTGTCATGACTTCATCTCATGAGCCCTCTACTTCTTCAGAAGAGCAATGTTTCATAGTTAAGCAGGCTCTCTTAACTTCATTTGAAAAGAAGAAATAAAATATAAACAAGCGGGCATTTCTGTAACAGCTTTTTCTGATATTCTGTCTTGGAACACCCAATCAACTTACAATGCTGGGACAGTGTTCTGGTAGGAAATTGGAGGGACTTTGCGTTTAGATGCCTATTTCTGATTGTGTACATTTAAAGAAGTCATATAAATTTCACATCATGATCTCCACACATTCAAGTGAGGATGATCTCATTTGGAAACTTACTTCGGTATGTGCTATTTGGGGGCTATACTAGGATAACCATCATTTAAGCTTCTTTTAGTTCACCTGATTCTAAAGATATTAGGAAAGTCATTTTCTTAGCTTGAGAGATATGGAAAGCAGGCCCTCAGAACCCACATGAGAGTATGTCCTTTGAATTTCTCTAAGGAGTAGGATCATCTCAGGGATATTCTAGACTTAAGTCCAAATTGTATAGCATTTCAGAAATATAGGCATGATAAGAACAGAACATGGCAGAGTTTTGAGGCAGGCAGCAGACTATTGGGATTGATGGCTCTGGCAAGGGTTTCTGCCAACACCTATAAAATGGGTTATGATGAGAATGAATAAGAAAGTGCCTAAGAAAGTCCTTTAAAAATGTAAGAGGTGCACAAACAGTGCTAACAATGTTTCTCCATATGAGCTTTGTTTGACAATGTAATTTGGAAGAGAAGAGAGAGACTTCTTCCTTCATTGTTCAAGGCAAGGAGAATCAAACTCAGCCTTATTGTGTCGGGAGTTGGTTCCTACCGGTGGGTTCATGGTCTCCCTGACTTCAAGAATGGAGCCGTAGACCTTCTAGGTAAATGTTACAGCTCTTAAAGATGGCACGGACCTAAAGAGTGAGTGTTAGCAGGGTTTATTGTAAAGAGTGAAAGGACAAAGCTTGACAGGGTGGAAGGGAACCTGCGCGGGTTGCCGCTGCTGGCTGGGGTGGCCAGCTTTTATTCCCTTATTTGCCCCCTCCCGTGTTCTGTTTCTGTCCTATCAGAATGCCCTTTTTTCAATCCTCCCCATGATTGGCTACTTTTAGAATCCTGCTGATTGGTGCATTTACAATACCCTTGCTAGCTACAGAGTGCTGATTTGTTCGTTTTTACAATCCTCTTGTAAGACAGAAAACTTCTCCAAGTCCCCACTCGACCCCGGAATTCCAGCTGGCTTCACCTCTCATTATGGTCTGAAAGTTTGTGTCCCATCAAAATGTATACGTTGAAGTTCTCACCCCCAAGGTGATGGTATTAAGAGATGGGGGCTTTAGATGGAGATTAGGTCATTAGGGCAGAGCCCTTGTGAGTGGGATTAGTGACCTTATAAAAGAAGCCCAAGAGAAACCTGTATCTTCTTCCACCATGTGATGGTACAACTAGAAGTTGCCATCTATTAGCCAGAGAGTGGGCCCTCACCAACACATTAAATCTGCTGTCAACTTGGTCTCATACTTCCAAGACTCCAGAACGGTAAGAAAGAAATTTCTGTTGTTTATAAATTGCTAAATTTATGGCATTTTTTATAGTAGGCCAAATGGACTAGGACACTCAGCAGCCTTGCTTCAACTCACAACCGAATAGTAGAATGTCATTATTTTTTAATGTGTAAAATGGAGGGATCATAATGGGGCTCAGAAATATGTTATGATGTTGGATGTTAGTACATTTACTAACCCATGTGTTTTTTATATAACCTTGAAGCTAGTCCTTGTGTTCTAAACCTAGGAAAAACTGTAGGTTGTAATTCATATTTAAATATTCTTAAGCAATGAGAGAATGGCCACCTAGTTTCTTGGCAATGGTAAAAACCACACCAAAGGAAATACTTTCTCTCCATGTGTACCAATTGTATTTAAAAAATCTTTCAAAATTTTAAGAACATTTATACCCCATTGCAGGGCTTTATCATAGCTTACATAGCCTCTTGTAAAAATCTATACGGTGAGAAACTCAACAGATCCACTCACGAGTTTTTGGCTTTATATGTAAAGGGACCAACTAGGTAAAGTAAATTCACAGGAGAGGATGAATTGAGGACAAAGAGGGCCAGACCCAGCCTCTTTGTCCTCAGATTCTAGTTCTTCCCTTTTATTGTCTGTACCGTAGGAGGGTTGGTCCTAGCCAGCTATATTTTGCAGATGCTTTTTTTTATTAGTGGTGTTTTTTTCTACTTTTATTTCAGATTAAGAAGGTACATGTGCAGGTTTGTTAGCTGGGTATACTGCGTGATGCTGAGGTTTAGGGTACAAATAATGCCATCACCCAGGTATAGAGCATACTACCCAACAGTTAGTTTTTCAGCTCTTGCTACCCTCCCTCCCTCTCCCATCTAGTTGTCCTCAGTGTCTATTGTTGCCATCTTAATGTCCATGTGTACCCAGTGTTCAGCTCCCATTTATAAGAACTTGGGGTATTTGGTTTTCTTTCTCTGCATTAATTTGCCTAGGATAATGGCCTCCAGCTGTATCCATGTTGCTCCACAGGACATGATTTCATGTTTTTTTATGGCTGTGTAGTATTCTGTGTGTATGTACCACATTTTCTTTATCCAGTCCACCATCATTGGGCACCTAGGTTCATTCCATATCTTTGCTATTGTGAATAGTGCTGCGATGAACATGCAAGTGCTTGTGTCTTTTTGGTAGAATGATTTGTTTCCTTCTGGATATATACCCAGTAATGGGATTGCTGGGCCCAATGGTAGCTCAGTTTTAAGTTCTTTGAGAAATCTCCAACCTTACATGTGCTCTTGAGGTGCTATTGCACCCGGTCAAAGCCACTGGAAGGAGATAGCAGAAAGAGAGAGAAGACAAAGGCCAGCAGTTTATTAGTTTATCCCCAACCCATTCACTCTTGCCACCCATTTGCCTCAGGTAGCTTTTCTGCCTGAGGCTCCTTCTGCTTTACAGCTTCAGCTTTGACCAGACAGGCCCCCTCTGGTTTCAGCTCCCATCTGGTGACACAGACTCTCCTTTCTTTGCTTTTCCTGCCTGGAGAACCTAGTGGCTTCCTGGTGTGTCTACTTTCCTGGTTACTCCACTCTTCCTTATCTGGTTCTCAGCTTCTTCTTTATATGGGCAGCCAATTCTCTGCATCAAATTAATTCCCTCTGTTGGTGTAAATACTTAAAATGGTTTCTGTTTTTTGGTTACACACAAGTAAAATATCACGTCAGTTGATGTCATGGTACATGTTGTCATAACATTATTTCCCTTTTTTATTACCCCCAAGTCCAGTTTGTGACGCGTTAACATTTTTATTTGGCCCCAGATTGGGAGATCTGTTACCCTTTCATGGAAGAGTTAAAAGGTGGTTAGACCCAACGGAATTTTGCATCCCACTGGAATACTTTGCATCTGAGGAGAAAATGTTATTTCTAGTACAAGCAATTAATGACCACTGGTGCCGTCTGAATAATTTTTATTATATGTTTGAGAGTTATCACATAGTCCAAGAAGAGTGAACAGAAGGCATTTACTTTTTAAAATAATTTCTTTTTGGACCAAAAAAAACCCCCATTAATATCATAAGACCCCGCAATTGCCATAGTAATCCCTTGTCTGATAATACTCATTGGGGTAACAAAAACACTAGGGATTGTTTTATGTCTCAGAATCCAAGTACAGCAGCTATTGATCTGAAATTCTATACTTGAGGTCAATCCAATTGGGTC